ACCGTGGGGTGCCGGAGCATCTCTCCAACGCCCAGACGAGTTCCGGGGCTCCCCCTGGGCCGTGCCCTGCGGAAAGCCACCATCCATCCCATCGCCCCTTGTTTTCCTGCCCGTGGGGGCAGTGGGGTCCCCCCAGATGCTGACTCCCCAAAAGAAGGTGCTGCTGCGGGAGCCCCAGGAGCAGCTGGAAGCAGCCGTGGGGGTTGGGGCCCTCGTTTGGGAGGCTTCTGCCTTGGGGGGGAAGTCTTATGGAATTGTTGGGGTTGGAAAAGACCTTTAAGGTCATCGAGTCCGACCGTTAACCCAGCACTGCCAAGGCCACCCCAAACCCACGGGCCTCGTCCACATGCCCCTTGAACCCCTCCTGGGACAGTGACTCCCCCCTCCCTGGGCAGCCCGTTCCAATGCCCCAGAGCCCTTTCCAGGACGTTTTCCCTCGTATCTGATCTGAACTTCCCTGCACCCCCTTTCAGATGACCATTAGGAATAACAGCAGGTAGAGCCCTACTTCAGGCTAAATTCGGCTCCTCGTTTCTCTGCCCCCCTCAGGCCACGGTGTCTCCCAAAAACCTTGGAAGCTGTTCAGGAGCCCCTTTTCCAAGCCAAGCAAGCATGAAGGTTGCTGCTTAACTCAAAAAAAAAAAAAAAAGGCAGGAAAAGCAAAAGCTCCGGCAGCATTTTCCCGGTTTCCTGGTCACGCCGCACCAAGGCTTCCGGCATCTCTAAGCTTCACCCTCCGGACACCCTCCCGGGATCGTGGTGGCGGCTGTGGCTTTCCTCGACATTTGATTGCAGGGGGTTATTGGTAAGCCACTCCTCTCAAAATGGCATTAATTATCAGCTATTAATTATCAGCTGCAGGGGTGCTGAGAGTAACCACCGGGTGTTCCTCACCAGGCAGACGGCAAAGTTGTGTCAGGGAACTGCTCTTACCCGGCAGTTTTTGGCAGTAGGGTTTCTTCCCTGAGTTCTTTTTCTGTGGGTTTACAGGTTTTCTCTTGTTTCCCGGTCACTCACCAGGATTTGGGGAGTTTGGGCCCCTCAGGAGCCACGGTTCGGAGCCGGTCCCGTCCCGCCGCCCTTGTCGGGGCTGTGCCGCTCGGGCGTGTTACACACCCGGCCCCGTGCGGTGCCACAGCGGGACGAGCTGAGCCCGCTGTCGTTCAGGTAGGCGCAGAGGCCACCGCCGCGGATCCGAAACCTGGAAGGACAGGTGAGACCACCCGCCCCGGCGTGGAAACAGCAGGAAAAAGGGGGAAAACCACACGTTGGCTTGGAGCCGGGATCTGCCTCAAGTGCCAGAAAAAATGCAGGTTTTGGGGCTGAGGAGACACCAACCAACAGCACAAAATACCCACAGGGGAGGGACACGTGAGCCGTTCACCCATTTCCACGGTTGTTCCTCGTCTTCCCGTGAAAGGCCGATCCAACGCTCCGCGATCCCTTTATATCTCATCACGAAACTCTGGGAAAGAGAGAAAAAGGCTTGATGGCAGGTCCCAGGGATTTGGGACATCTCCGGCAGGTCCCCATCTGCAGAAACCTCCTGCCAACCAATAATGTGCATTTTTCCAGTGGGTCGTGGTTTTTCAGGCTCCTCTGGTTCTTAAACCTTTCCATCTCTTCCCAACCAGCATAAATTTGACAGCAAAACTTCGTTAGTGCATGGAAATGGGGTTTCTTGGCTGCAGTTCTCACATCTGTTGGCTTTGCGGAGAAATTTGAGGAGACCCACAACGACCTACCCCCAAGAAAATGCATGGAAATGGGGTTTCTTGGCTGTATTTCTCACATCCATGGGCTTTGCTGAGAAATTTGAGGAGACCCGTGACGACCTAACCCCAGGAAACCCATTTTCCCCATCTCCTCACCCCAAATCTCCAGGCAAGATCCCGGGAGAGCCGACAAAGAAACCAAAAAGCAGCAAATGCACTGTTTTTTAAACGTTATTCCCGGGCGAAGCGTGTCCTCGGGTCTCCTTACCAAGTCCTCCATGCCGTCAAGCAGGGCCAAGGAAGCGCCAAGAGCCGAGCAGTCGTCCTGGCTGGATGTCCAGTTCCCTTCGGCCTCCGAAAAATAGTAGCATTTTCCTCTGTGCCCGATCCAGTCGAACGGACACCGAGAGCAGGGCTGGGGACGAGGCTGAAAAGCCTGCGCTGTCATCGACAGAGCGACAGCGTTAGGGAGCAGCACCCCCCAGGAGGTCGTTCTGCACCCCGCGGCCCCCGAAAGCCGTGCGTCTGCCTCGGCGGTGCGAGGAAAGGAAAAGGAAGACGCCAAGAGGCACCCGGGGCGGGTGGGAGGGAGGAAACAGGCTCAAAGCACGTGGCGTTGGACAAGGAAAAAGATGGAAACAGGGTGTTGGCCCTCAAAGACAGGGATTTCAGAGGGTTTGCAGCACAGCCCCAACCCTAAACGCGCCCTGGGGTGTCGCTGTCAGGAATGCGAAGCCGGGAGGGGCAAAGGACAGAAAACCAGCTCTCCTGTGGCTTGGCGAGACTCACGCCAACATCTCTTGGTGCTTGGACAAGCAGCAGAGAAACAGTCCCCTCCCCAAAACACCCCGATTTTGGACAGCTCGGGTGACCGTCCAAACGGCTCTTTTGGTTGGCCTTTCGAGGGGTGTGGATGACACCCCACACGGAGGAGATGGGTTTGTGCTGCAGAAAGGCTCCCCTGCTCGCGGGAACGTCCCTCTCCGGGGGACGACGGCCTCTCGGGTCGGGCTGCGTCTTCCCTGGGAGCACGGAAGCGGATCTGGCAGATGTGCACCAACCCGAAGCATCGTTCCCCGTGCGAGGAGAACCTCGAGGCTCACCTGCGAAAGCGACGGCCGTGACCAGCAGAACTACGAACAGCGCTGCCATCGTCACCTGGCAGGCCACGCGCGGCCCCGGCGGCGTCTCCAGGCGGTAACCTGCAGAAGAGACCTTCAGCGCCTTCGCGGGGGTACCGAGGGGAGCGACGCGCCCCGGGCCCAGTCCCTCCGGCCCAGAAGATGGTTTTTCCTCCTTTTATCCCAGGGTAAAGGAGGATTTTAGGGCGATCTCCCCAGGCCGGGCCGTCGTGGGGAGCGCCCAGCCCCACATCCGAGCGCGTGGGTGATGCTCGTCACAAGCGCCTTCGGGAAGACCCTTCCCAAGGGCAGGGCAGTTCGATGCCCAAAGGACAGGAGGTGGGCTGGCTGTCATTTTGGGTGAGAAAAATCAGAAATTCTCCTCCCCACCAACTAAAGCGCCATCTTTGTTTGCCTTTGGAAACCCGCTCGGCAGGGAGCGTTGCTTGTCCCCTGTTCCAGCTGCAGCCTCCTGCCCTGAAACACACCCTCGTCAAAACGGGGATTTCGTTGCCGCGTTCCGCCTCGTTATCAGCGCTCAGCGGACGTTTTTCCCAACACTCGGGGTCTCGCCAGCGATTCGGGTCACAGTAACTCCGGCGCTGGGCTGTGTGATCCAGCACACGCTCTTTCCTCCTTCCACCAGCAAAAAAAATTCTCTTTCCGAAGGGTTTTACCTAAAAACCTCAATGCTTTCACCCAGGGGGGTTTCCCCACGTTCAGTTTCTCCCTCTTTGTCCCCATCTGTCACATAAAACGAATCTCAGGGGACAAACCCTCCTTTTGCCTCTTCCTACACCCCCTCCCCATGCAAAAAAGTGGTATCGGAGAGCGAGACACCAAATATGCCAAATAATTTAAAAAAAAACAAGAAAACCAAAAACTCAAACCAAACTCCCCAAAATACCCAAGACAAAGTTAAAAAAAAATTAAAATTATCAAATTAACACCCCCTCCCCATGCAAAAAAGTGGTATCGGAGAGCGAGACACCAAATATGCCAAATAATTTTAAAAAAAACCAAGAAAACCTAAAAACTCAAACCAAACTGCCCAAAAAAACCCAAGCCAAAGTTTAAAAAAAATTAAAAGCATCAAATTAACAAATCAACAAATAGAAAAATCAACAAATACGCTGAATAACATTAAAATCCTCAAAATGGTAGTTCCTGGCTGGGTAGAGCAAGGTGATGGCAAAGACCCCAAAAGACCCTTTTTCGCCCTTATTGTGCAGCAAGGGGATGGTGGAGACGGGAGGAAGAGCCAGGAGGAGCAGCGTGGGGCAGTGCTGGGGGGGGGCAGAGGGATTCCTCTGAGCTGGACGTGGATCCCCGACTGATTTTGGACCCTTCAGCTGGGCAACGTCTTTTCAATTCTCCTCCAGAATAAAGCAAGAATTTCTTCGGGGGCCAAAAAAATCCGAAGACCCAAACCAGTTGGGGGGCGAACCGCCTGTGCCCCGAAGCACTGAAACGAGGCCGTTCAGGGCAAAAATTCCACCCGCGTTTCCTGCGGGAGCGCTAGAAAAAGCTCGGTTTGGGTTTTTTTCTGCACCCCTCCTGCCCCACCTCAGCCGTGGGGCCTTTTCTCAAACCCTAGAAGTGAATTATGTTAAAAAACACTGAAACACGTGAAAAAGCATTAAAGGAAATACAGTTCATGTGTTCAGA